CATATTGATCATGTAATTATACAAGCTGTTAACGTTTACTTATATTTAAAATATATCTAAACACTTCCAATAATCGTTTAAACTAGTTTATCTACATTTAATCGACACATGTTGATATATAATATATAATCGATAATATATTATTCAGTCGAAAGATATTACTTCAAATAACAGAGTCTCTTCCGTTAAATAATGGAATCTCATTGAATGAAAGAACTAAATTTTTATTAAGTAAAATAATATTTCGCATAAGTGTACCATGTTTCACTGAATCAAATTTCAGTCAAATAAATAGGAATATTAAAGAAACTTTTTCTCTTGTATATATGTTTTATAAAGAATTATACTTATTTCATGTTTACACAGGCATTAGATCTAGCATGGTGGAAAGATTACAGTTTTCAATGCGAACCTGTCGATTTTTCATATACACCAAGAGCTTTACAGGTAATTCTATAAGAATTTAATTCATTAATAATTAAGAAATAGATTAGATATGTTACAGCCCTTCATTCCATCATCTTATTTCTTTGCCCACAATGTCTCTCCTTCACCCTCTATATTAATTTCATATCTACATTTATTTCTACAAATCGGAATATATCGCAAAGTTATTATAGTAAAATAATAAAACTGCGTTTGTTTGCTGCTTTATATGAAAATAAAGTAGGAAAGAGGAAATCATTGAAGATAACCACGTTATATTCTGTCAATAAACAGATAGCCAGAGGATGTTGGTATTATTTTCTACTTAAGATTTTTGATTGGCTGGACACGATCTTCTTTGTACTTAGAAAGAAGCAAAGTCATGTGAGTTTCCTTCACGTATATCACCACTCTGGCATGGCAATTATTACTTGGATATGCGTTAAATATTTGCCGGGTGGTCACAGTACATTTATAGGTATGTATAACGTTGCTTATAACAATAGTAAATATGGTGAAATATTATGCAGTAGCAAATATTGTGAAATATTATGATCTTTATATCATTAATAAATTCGAGAACCGCATTACACAAGGGCGACTCTGGTCAGTTTGTGTCTCTAAAAGTATCTTCTAAAATTTTTTCTTTTACAAATACAATGACTCAAGCCATAAACAACATTGATTTTTTAATCTCTATAAATTTATCTATGTATGGAATATTACATTGTACAATCTAATCTAACATACTTATATATTTTAATGTCACTGCTAATAATCGCAAGAAATTGGAAAAAAATAATTTTTAGAAATATATAATGACTTTAAGTAGTATTCTGTAATACCGATGTAATATTCGAAAAAGATTGATATGAAATTATTTCATCTTTGGAAGTTACTTTTCGATTCTACTCAATAAACAGAAAATCAAAGTATAACTCGATATTTGACGCGATGAATTCCACTATCTGAATATTTAATCGTGGTCTAATAAACGCGCGAATGCAAGAACCTGCACTTTATAACTCTTCAACGGACACTAACGCTTTGTTTCAGGATTAATCAACACATTCGTTCACTCAATAATATATACATATTATTTGCTATCATCTATAAAAATAAACATGATATCGTGGAAAAAGCATATTACTCAGCTACAAATGATCCAGTTCTTCATAGTAGCACTTCACTTCACCCAATTATTCTGGACGCATTGCGGTTATCCGAAATGGACAGCGATATTCATCATACCGCAAGATGTTTTCATGCTCGTATTATTTGGAGACTTTTATTATAATACATATCAGCGAGCAAATTCGGCAGTAAAATCGAAAATGCATCGAAAATGAAAGCAAGCGTCGTCTCCGAGGAGTTCGTTTCAAGTGACAAATAGAACAAAATAGAATAGAAATAAAAGAACAATAAATGTTTGTAGCATACTTTTCAGTAGATTTTTCTGTCTTTTTATTTTCCTACCTTTAATGTAATAAGGACTATAGAATTAAACACTAATCTAAGAAAATTTGTCCATAGGCCACGTTAATTTGCTGTTAAGACAATATAGTGTTTTCTACACTGGCTAATTTGTTCTTACATCATAATCATTTGTAGAATGGCACTTAATACTTTTACCAAATTGTTCCGCTATCTGTTTTTCTGTATATACGAGGGCGGTTCAATAAGTACCCGTGTTAGACGATAGAGGGCGTTCCTGAGGG